CATTCATAGGGTTTCTCCCCTGTGTGGATCCTTTTATGCTGAGTAAGGGCACCGGGGGCTTTGAAGCATTTCCCACACTCTATGCATTTATATGGCTTCTCTCCAGTGTGGATCCTCTTATGTAAATTGAAATTGCCCTTTTGTGCAAAGCTTTTTCCACACACTGTGCAATGATAGGGCTTTTCCCCTGTATGGGTCCTATTATGGCAACTGAGGTCACTTATAGAGCAGAAGCTCTTCCCACATTCCAGGCATTTACATGATTTCTTCCCAGTGGGGCTTTTTTTCCAGGAATTCGGTTCTTTGCTCTGAGTAAACCTTGTTCTACCCTCCCTGTGTTGGTGCAACTTTTCCTGTCTGTGGAGGCTTTGATGGGAAGTAAGGGAGGCGCTGCTTCCGACGGTCTTTCCACAGGGGATGCCTTGATGCTGCTTCTTCTCTTTGTGCATCCTCTGATGTGAATTAAGATGGTTTTTCTGCCTGAAGGTCCTTCCACAATCCATACATTTATGTGGCTCCTCTGCTTTGTGAATCTTTTTATGTGAAGCAAGAGAGCGGCTTGTACCGAAGCTTTCTGCACACTCTGTACATTTGTATGGTTTCCCTTCTTTTTTTATTCTTTCACGTAAAGGAGGAGGAAGGTCCCTTCTGGGGTGTTGCCTGCTTTCATCTTGTTTCTCACCAGCAGGGCTGTGGCAACAGTCACATAATCCAGATTCATCTTGGAGTATTTTCCCACACCTTGAACACACTTCTTTTTCATGGCTATCATCTGTGTCCAATAAGACATTGATATCTGAACAAGGTAGACCAGAGCAATTCTCCAGCTCCCCCGTTAACTGGTTTTGCTCAGAACTTTGCTTTCCATACATCTTTCCTACAACTTCCTTTTTGTCTTTTGGCAAAGGTGCTGCTGCCTCTTGGCCCGAATCCTCCATCTCCCATCCGTCACCTGGTTGCAACAATAAAAAAAGTTGACACAAATTTTAGTGCAAAAGGAATCAAGCACCATTGCTCTATTTGAACAGTATCAAACTTCTTCCAAACTCCCATTTGTTCAAAACATTGTGCTATATTGGTATTAATGTGGGAAACAGAGTTGTATTCTTTTTTTTACAGAATTGTAAAAAGACATGTTGCCCTGTGAAAAAATACATTGTATCTTATATGATCATAGAAGCCCAGACCAGCACAATACCACTTTGAAAGAAAAACAAGAAATCCAAGAAGAAACCAGCATGGCTGCACAAAGATCTTTCTGGCAGATTGAAAGAAAAAAAGGACAAGTACAAAAAATGGGAAGAAGGACATACAACTAAGGCAGAATATCAGACTTGCAATAAAAGTCAAAGATAATAAAAAAATTTTTTCCCAACATATAGATAAGAAGAAAAAAATCAAGGAAACAGTCAGTCCACTAAAGAGAGAAGACGGCAAGGAAGTAACAGGCAACAGAAAGAAACTCATTCTTTGCATCTGTCTTCACGCAAAAAGAAACTATAGCTCAACCCACCAAAAACTTAACTGTAAAAGACAGACCAGAAATAAAAAAAAAGTTAAAATAAGCAAAAAAAATAGTAAGAGAACACCTGTCTGATCTTGATGAACACAAACCACTGGGACCTGATGGATTACATCCCAGAGTTTTAAAGGAGCTGGCAGATGTCATCACAGAACCACTGCACCATATCTTTCAAAACTCTTGGAGCACTTGGGAACTACCAGAAGACTGGAAAAGAGCTGATGTGGTTCCCATCTTCAAAAAAGTAAAAAAACAGACCCAGGAAACTCTAGACCAGGGGTCCCCAACCAACGGTCCGTGGACCGGTACCTGTCCGCGGAACAAGTCCTACCGGGCCGCTAGTTGCTGGGCGCCACCATCTTTTTTTGATGAAAAAGTGCTTCCGGTGAGCTTTTCCCGGTACCGGGCCGCGGCGCCCAGCTGATGTCGGTACCGGGCCGCGGCATAAAAAAAGGTTGGGGATCACTGCTCTAGACCAATCAACCTAACATCAATACCTGGGAAGATACTGGAAAAGATAATAAAAAAACAGATCTGCCAACATCTAGAAACAAGTAAAGTAATAACTAGCAGTCAGCACAGTTTTGTTAAAAACAGACCATGCCAAACCAATCATATTTCATTCTTCAACATAGTGACTAAATTAGTAGACCAGCAAAATACTGTGGACATAATATATTTAGATTTCAGCAAGGCATTCGACAAAGTAGATCACAACCTACTTCTTAGTAAGCTAGAAAAAAGTGGAATAGATAGCACCACCA